CGTCTCAAGTGGCTCATCGTCACTGGCGCTACCTACCAAGATATGTTCATAGGTGCCGCGGGCGCGTCCGTGTCCCCTAACCACAAGCTCCCGTGGGCCTTTGTCCGTGCCATCGCTGTTCCCACATTCCTCCTGGGCAGCATAGTAGCTACGCCGTGGCCAGTCTCCATCTTCCTCACGCCCATCTCGGCCTGACCATGGGCCTTCTCAGAACGTTCCAATCCCAGGGTGGCGCCGTCGGAAACGCAATCTTCAACTCTGTCTTCCAGAACAATTTGAAACTTTGGGGCGGGGGGCCCCCCCCCCCCCCCCCCCCCCCCTCCAGCTTTTGGGGTCGCACGATGTGTAGGTGGCGACGGGCCCGGGTGTTTGATTGACACGACGCGAACCTCCAGCTGGCCAACCGCTCGCTCGCTGCCATGCAGAGACAGACGTGTCGACAGACTGGACCGACTTAAGGGGAGGAACCGAGCAGAGGGTGGCGGAGGCGGCGATGGCGGGGGAGAGTAATCGCCGCGTCGCAACACGTCTGTCGAAAGCCACCTACCGTGGGCGTGCGTTCACATGTCACCCAGAGCTATCTACCTACCTTAGTGGAAGGAGGAGGCTGCAACGCGCCCAGGAGCTTGTCGATGCGCGCGCAGCTTGGCAGGGTGCTGCTGCTGTCGCTTCTCCTGCGTGCTACGTCTTGGCTTGGATGTCTGGCTGGCTGGTTGTCCGTCGCCTGCTTCGTCTTGGTCGTTGTCAAGGAAAGTGCGGGGACGACTGCGTCTTGACCGATCCCCCCCCCCCCCTCCCGCCAAGCGTGTACCAATCTCCCCAGACGGCCATGATGCAGAAGGCCAGCGTCGCGTCGCAGAAAGGGCGTAGAGAGAGAGAGAGGGCGGCGCTGAGTGGCTTGACGGCGTGGGCTTAGATCACGTTATCGGGCATGAAGCACAGGTGACGTGCGTGACGAGACCGATATGCCGGAGCAATTATTGCATTTTGTTATCTGCCGCTGCTGTACGACCATGGTTTCGGATGCGGTGGGCTATGAGTATGGCATCCGACTCTTCGGAAGTGGCTCGTTGGGAGGGCTTGTTGTCCATCAACATCTCCTCCCTTTCGACCCCTCCCTGTCTCGAGACGCATGTCAGATTCGACAACTGGTCGACGGGATGCAACTGTTGCCCCCCCCTGCTCCGCTCCCTTTCCGCCTCGCCATTCCCGTTCCTCCGTTCTCTCTCTCTCTCTCTCTATTGCCATGCCTCTTCGTATCTTGTCTCCTTGCCTGCCATTCGCCTGGATTGCCCATGCCATTCATCCGTTCAGCCATCCAGCCGTGCTTGTCTGCCAGCGTGTATGCCTGCTTGCCTCCGCAACCATGGTCGGGTCTTTGTCAGCATCCTGCATCCCATGCACGTAGCCCGAAGCAGTCGGCGTCTGGAAGGGCCGGTGACCGCCACAAACTTGCAGCCGTCCAAGGTCTTTCCCGCGCCATGGGGTGGGAGGGGTGGCGGAGCACGCAAGGATGCTGATAGACGAGGCGCCCGCGTGAACAATGCCGGGCTGCCGGCCGGGTAGATTTCCATGCCGGGCGGGCCACCAGAAAAACGTCACTCTTGGCCGCAGCGTCGTCCCCGTTTTTTGTACTCCGTTCCGGGTTGTGGCCGCTCACCGCCCCTGCGGTTTCATCTCTTGCCAAGCGGCACAATCGAGGGGGGGGATTCGCCCGACGACGGGCACATGCTCGTGCTGCATGTACAGATGAGCTGTGCGGGGCGAGCTGGCCGACTCTGGTTGCTCGTCGCCCGTCGATGAAGGACATGGCTGCTGGGCTGACTGGCTGGACTCGTCCCCATTTCGACGTCGCTCTTCTCGCGCGGAAGGGACGCCCTGCATCCCCCCTTTAGGACGTTTAGGACGTCTCAGAGGCAAAGGCCACCTCGGGCGGGATGCGGAAGGAGGCGCAGAACATGCGCTTCTTGGGGGCGACGTCGCGGACGTTGTAAATGGACATTTCGCCGTCGTTCTCGGCGTCTCCGGGCTTGAAGCGGACGCCAATCTCGCGGAAGATGCGGTCGCAAATGTCGAGGAGCGGCACGTCGTCGTCCTGCTTGACGGCGAAGCAGTGGACGTGCACGAGGGGCAGCTTGGCGGGGGTGTGCGGCGCAAAGAGGGCCTCGTGGTCGTGGTAGAGGCCGCGGAATTGGCGGACAAAGGTCGTGGCCGAGGCTGGCAGGTTCATGACAAAGTGGCTGACG